GGACTAATGACTAATCAGCCCATGATCACACATAACTGTGGTGTCATGCATTTGGTATCTTTTAATTTTTAGGGGTCGAACTTGCTATGATTCAGCTATGACCTAAAGGTCCTGACTCAGTCAAATATATTGTAGCTGGGCTTATTCTCTATGCGGGGTCTCCACACGGATTAACAGTCAAGGTGTTATTCAGTCAATGGTCACAGGACATATACTTAAATTCCTAAGTCTCACAGGACACGGCGTGCGCGCACCCACGTATACGCGTACACGTACACGTATACACGTATACACGTATACACGTACACACGTATACACGTACACACGTATACACGTACACACGTATACACGTACACACGTACACACGTACACACGTATACACGTATACACGTACACGTACACACGTACACACGTACACACGTATACACGTACACACGTATACACGTACACACGTATACACGTATACACGTATACACGTACACGTATACACGTACACGTATACACGTACACGTATACACGTACACGTATACACGTACACGTATACACGTATACACGTACACGCACACGTATACATGTACACGTACGCGTATACACGTATACACGTATACACGTATACACATGCAAACACTTTGATTTAGTAAACAACTAGCTTAATCAAACCCCCCTTACCCCCCGTTAACCTTACTTATAATAATACGTGCCTATTTATGTCTTGCCAAACCCCAAAAACAAGACTAGACCGTACCTAAACATAAGGTCTAAAACGCTTATAAGCTTTACCAATCCCCTGTCATTACTAGCTATCAGTACTAAATCATAACTCTGTTCGCAGTTATCTATAGATACGCCAACCTGACCTCTAACTCACCCCTATTGAGCAACACCTCACATAACCAAATTAACCCTATACCCCAGTTAATGTAGCTTAAACACGTAAAGCAAGGCACTGAAAATGCCTAGATGAGTCACCAGACTCCATAAACACAAAGGTTTGGTCCTGGCCTTTCCATTAGTTATTAATAAGATTACACATGCAAGCCTCCGCATCCCGGTGAAAATGCCCTCTAGGTCACCCAGTGACCTAAAGGAGCTGGTATCAAGCGCACAACCATAGTAGCTCATAACACCTTGCTCAGCCACACCCCCACGGGACACAGCAGTGATAAAAATTAAGCTATGAATGAAAGTTTGACTAAGCTATATTAAACAAGGGTTGGTAAATTTCGTGCCAGCCACCGCGGTCATACGATTAACCCAAACTAATAGACCCACGGCGTAAAGCGTGTTATAGAGAAAAAACAATACTAAAGTTAAACCTTAACTAGGCCGTAAAAAGCTACAGTTAACATAAAAATACAGCACGAAAGTAACTTTAATATCTCCGATCACACGATAGCTAAGACCCAAACTGGGATTAGATACCCCACTATGCTTAGCCCTAAACCTAGATAGTTAACTCAAACAAAACTATCCGCCAGAGAACTACTAGCAACAGCTTAAAACTCAAAGGACTTGGCGGTGCTTTACATCCCTCTAGAGGAGCCTGTTCTATAATCGATAAACCCCGATATACCTCACCATCTCTTGCTAATTCAGCCTATATACCGCCATCTTCAGCAAACCCTAAAAAGGAATAAAAGTAAGCACAAGTATCTTAACACAAAAAAGTTAGGTCAAGGTGTAGCCCATGAGATGGGAAGTAATGGGCTACATTTTCTAAAACTAGAACACCCACGAAAATCCTTATGAAACTAAGTATTAAAGGAGGATTTAGTAGTAAATTTGAGAATAGAGAGCTCAATTGAATCGGGCCATGAAGCACGCACACACCGCCCGTCACCCTCCTCAAGTGATAGTATCCAAAAAAACCTATTTAACCTACCACACCCACAAGAGGAGACAAGTCGTAACAAGGTAAGCATACTGGAAAGTGTGCTTGGATAACAAGATGTAGCTTAAACAAAGCATCTGGCTTACACCCAGAAGATTTCACATCAAACTGACCATCTTGAGCCAAAACTAGCCCAAACACCCATAAACCCAACTAACACTAGAAAATAAAATAAAACATTTAGTTACTTCAAAAAGTATAGGAGATAGAAATTTAACTTGGCGCTATAGAGAAAGTACCGTAAGGGAAAGATGAAAGATAAAATTAAAAGCACCACACAGCAAAGATTACCCCTTGTACCTTTTGCATAATGAGTTAGCTAGAATAGCCTAACAAAGAGAACTTCAGCTAGGTCCCCCGAAACCAGACGAGCTACCCATGAACAATCTATTACAGGATGAACTCGTCTATGTTGCAAAATAGTGAGAAGATTTGTGGGTAGAGGTGAAAAGCCTAACGAGCCTGGTGATAGCTGGTTGCCCAGAATAGAATCTTAGTTCAACTTTAAACTTACCTCAAAAACCCATAATTCTAATGTAAGTTTAAAATATAGTCTAAAAAGGTACAGCTTTTTAGAATTAGGATACAGCCTTTATTAGAGAGTAAGCATAATTGTAAACCATAGTTGGCCTAAGAGCAGCCATCAATTAAGAAAGCGTTCAAGCTCAACAATCAAAACATCTTAATGTCAAAAAATGCAACTAACTCCTAATTTAAAACTGGGCTAATCTATTTAATAATAGAAGCAATAATGCTAATATGAGCAACAAGAAATATTTCTCCCTGCATAAGTTTATATCAGAACGGATAACCACTGATAGTTAACAACAAGATATGTACAGCCTAACCATAAACACAATATCAAACTAATTGTTAACCCAACACAGGCATGCAAATTTAGGGAAAGATTAAAAGAAGTAAAAGGAACTCGGCAAACACAAGCCCCGCCTGTTTACCAAAAACATCACCTCTAGCATTTCTAGTATTAGAGGCACTGCCTGCCCAGTGACACTAGTTAAACGGCCGCGGTATCCTGACCGTGCAAAGGTAGCATAATCATTTGTTCCTTAAATAGGGACTTGTATGAACGGCCACACGAGGGCTTTACTGTCTCTTACTTCCAATCCGTGAAATTGACCTTCCCGTGAAGAGGCGGGAATACAACAATAAGACGAGAAGACCCTATGGAGCTTTAATTAACCGACCCAAAGAGACCCATTAATTTCAACCGACAGGAACAACAAACCTCTATATGGGCCGACAATTTAGGTTGGGGTGACCTCGGAGAACAGAACAACCTCCGAGTGATTTAAATCAAGACTAACCAGTCGAAAGTATTACATCACTTATTGATCCAAAAGTTTGATCAACGGAACAAGTTACCCTAGGGATAACAGCGCAATCCTATTTCAGAGTCCATATCGACAATAGGGTTTACGACCTCGATGTTGGATCAGGACATCCCGATGGTGCAGCAGCTATCAAAGGTTCGTTTGTTCAACGATTAAAGTCCTACGTGATCTGAGTTCAGACCGGAGTAATCCAGGTCGGTTTCTATCTATTAAATAATTTCTCCCAGTACGAAAGGACAAGAGAAATAGGGCCCACTTTACCAAAGCGCCCTTAACCTAATAGATGATATAATCTCAATCTAGACAGTTTATCCAATTACACCCGTAGAGCTCGGGTTTGTTAGGGTGGCAGAGCCCGGTAACTGCATAAAACTTAAGCTTTTATTATCAGAGGTTCAATTCCTCTCCTTAACAACATGTTCATAATCAATATCCTCTCACTAATTATCCCCATTCTCCTCGCTGTAGCCTTCCTCACCTTAGTTGAACGAAAAGTACTAGGCTACATACAACTCCGCAAAGGACCAAATGTCGTAGGACCATACGGCCTACTCCAACCTATCGCAGACGCCGTAAAACTCTTCACCAAAGAACCCCTCCGACCCCTCACATCCTCCATATTCATATTCATTATAGCACCAATTCTAGCCCTCACACTAGCCCTAACCATGTGAATTCCACTACCCATACCATACCCACTTATCAACATAAACCTGGGAGTGCTATTTATGTTAGCTATGTCAAGCCTAGCCGTTTACTCCATCCTATGATCAGGATGAGCCTCAAATTCAAAATACGCCCTAATCGGAGCCCTACGAGCCGTAGCCCAAACAATCTCATATGAAGTCACCCTAGCCATCATCCTCTTATCAGTATTGCTGATAAATGGATCCTTCACACTAGCTACACTAATCATTACCCAAGAACATATATGATTAATTATCCCCGCATGGCCCCTAGCCATAATATGATTTATCTCAACACTAGCAGAAACCAACCGGGCCCCATTTGACCTAACAGAAGGAGAATCAGAACTAGTCTCAGGGTTCAACGTAGAATACGCAGCAGGCCCCTTCGCCCTATTCTTTCTAGCAGAGTACGCTAACATCATTATAATAAATATCCTTACAACAATCTTATTCCTCGGAGCATTCCACAACCCCTACATACCAGAACTATATACCATCAACTTCACAGTAAAAACCCTATTTCTAACAACCACTTTCTTATGAATCCGAGCATCCTATCCACGATTCCGATATGACCAACTAATACACCTTCTATGAAAAAACTTCCTACCTCTTACCCTAGCCCTATGCATATGACACGTATCAATGCCCATTACCATAGCAAGCATCCCGCCTCAAACATAAGAAATATGTCTGACAAAAGAGTTACTTTGATAGAGTAAAACATAGAGGTTCAAACCCTCTTATTTCTAGAATTATAGGAATCGAACCTAATCCTAAGAATCCAAAAATCTTCGTGCTACCATTATTACACCACATTCTAAAGTAAGGTCAGCTAAATAAGCTATCGGGCCCATACCCCGAAAATGTTGGTTTATACCCTTCCCATACTAATCAAACCCCCTATTTTTATCACCATTATATTAACCGTTATCTCAGGAACTATAATTGTAATAACAACCTCCCACTGACTTATAGTCTGAATCGGCTTTGAAATAAATCTACTAGCCATTATCCCCATCCTAATAAAAAACTATAACCCACGAGCCATAGAAGCAGCCACAAAATATTTCCTAACTCAAGCAACCGCCTCCATAATCCTGATAATAGGAATTATCATCAACCTACTGCACTCAGGACAATGAACCGTGTCAAAAGACCTCAACCCCCTAGCATCAATCATAATAACAACCGCCCTAGCGATAAAACTAGGACTAGCCCCGTTCCACTTCTGAGTGCCTGAAGTCACACAGGGAGTTTCTATATCATCAGGCCTAATCCTACTAACATGACAAAAAATTGCACCACTATCTATTCTCTACCAAATCTCACCCACCATTAACCCCAACCTACTCCTAACAATATCCATCATATCAGTTATAATTGGAGGCTGGGGAGGCCTCAACCAAACACAACTACGAAAAATCATAGCATATTCCTCAATCGCCCATATAGGCTGAATAACAGCTATCACAATATACAACCCCACAATAATAATCCTAAACCTAATCATCTATATCATTATAACACTAACCACTTTTATATTATTTATACACAACTCCACCACAACAACATCATCCCTGTCACAAACATGAAATAAAACCCCCTTAATCACCTCACTTATCCTAGTACTAATAATATCCCTGGGCGGCCTACCCCCGCTTTCCGGTTTCATTCCAAAATGAATAATCATCCAAGAACTAACTAAAAATGAAATAATTATAATACCAACACTACTAGCCATAACAGCACTGCTCAACCTATATTTCTACATACGACTAACATACACCACTGCACTAACTATATTTCCCTCAAACAATAACATAAAAATAAAATGACGATTCGAATGCACAAAAAAAATAACCTTCATACCCCCTCTAATCGTAATATCAACCATACTACTTCCACTCACACCAATACTATATATCCTGAATTAGAAGTTTAGGTTAAATTAGACCAAGAGCCTTCAAAGCTCTAAGTAAGCCCCACAGACTTAACTTCTGCACACTTTTAAATCACCTTAAGGACTGCAAGAACTTATCTCACATCTATTGATTGCAAATCAAACACTTTAATTAAGCTAAGTCCTCACTAGATTGGTGGGCTCCAACCCCACGAAATTTTAGTTAACAGCTAAATACCCTAATCAACTGGCTTCAATCCACTTCTCCCGCCGTCTAGAAAAAAAAGGCGGGAGAAGCCCCGGCAGCGTCAGGCTGCTTCTTTGAATTTGCAATTCAACATGACATTCACTGCAGGACTTGGTAAAAAGAGGGCTTAAACCTCTGTGTTTAGATTTACAGTCTAATGCTTACTCAGCCATTTTACCTATGTTCATAAATCGCTGACTGTTTTCAACTAATCATAAAGATATTGGCACTCTTTACCTTCTATTTGGTGCCTGAGCCGGTATGGTAGGAACTGCTCTTAGTCTCCTAATCCGGGCCGAACTAGGTCAACCTGGCACACTACTAGGAGATGATCAAATTTATAATGTGGTCGTTACTGCCCATGCTTTTGTGATGATTTTCTTCATAGTAATACCTATTATGATTGGAGGGTTTGGTAACTGATTGGTCCCATTAATAATTGGAGCCCCTGACATAGCATTCCCCCGAATGAATAACATGAGCTTCTGACTTCTTCCTCCATCTTTTTTACTTCTACTTGCTTCATCTATGGTGGAGGCCGGAGCAGGGACTGGATGAACAGTATATCCACCCTTAGCCGGTAATCTGGCTCATGCGGGAGCATCCGTAGATCTAACCATTTTCTCACTCCACCTAGCAGGTGTCTCTTCGATCTTGGGTGCTATTAATTTTATCACCACTATTATTAATATAAAACCTCCTGCCATATCTCAATACCAAACACCCCTTTTTGTATGATCAGTTTTAATCACTGCAGTCCTATTACTCCTATCACTCCCAGTCCTAGCAGCAGGAATTACTATGCTATTAACAGATCGAAACCTAAATACCACATTCTTTGATCCTGCCGGAGGAGGAGATCCTATCTTATACCAACACTTATTCTGATTTTTTGGTCACCCGGAGGTCTATATTTTAATTCTACCCGGCTTCGGAATAATCTCACATATTGTTACCTATTACTCAGGTAAAAAGGAACCATTTGGCTACATGGGAATAGTTTGAGCCATAATATCAATTGGCTTTCTGGGCTTTATCGTATGGGCCCATCACATGTTTACCGTGGGAATAGATGTAGATACACGAGCATACTTTACATCAGCTACCATAATTATCGCCATTCCTACTGGGGTAAAAGTATTTAGCTGACTGGCTACTCTTCACGGAGGTAATATTAAGTGGTCCCCCGCCATACTATGAGCTTTAGGTTTTATCTTCCTATTTACCGTAGGAGGTTTGACAGGGATTGTACTAGCGAACTCCTCACTAGATATCGTTCTTCACGATACATACTACGTAGTAGCCCATTTCCACTATGTATTATCAATAGGAGCAGTATTCGCTATTATAGGGGGTTTCGTCCATTGATTCCCTTTATTCTCAGGGTACACTCTTGATAATACTTGGGCAAAAATTCACTTCACAATTATATTTGTGGGAGTTAACATAACGTTTTTCCCTCAGCACTTCCTAGGGCTATCTGGAATGCCGCGACGTTATTCTGACTACCCAGACGCATATACGACTTGAAACACAATTTCCTCAATAGGCTCTTTCATCTCACTAACGGCAGTTATACTAATAATTTTCATAGTGTGAGAAGCTTTTGCATCCAAGCGAGAAGTGGCTATAGTAGAATTGACCACAACTAATCTCGAATGACTACATGGATGTCCCCCTCCCTACCACACATTTGAAGAGCCAACTTATGTACTATTAAAATAAGAAAGGAAGGAATCGAACCTTCTTTAACTGGTTTCAAGCCAATGCCATAACCATTATGTCTTTCTCAATCAAGAAGTATTAGTAAAATAATTACATAACTTTGTCAAAGTTAAATTATAGGCTTGAATCCTATATACTTCCATGGCATATCCCCTACAATTAGGCTTTCAAGATGCCACATCTCCTATTATAGAAGAGCTCCTACACTTTCATGACCATACATTAATAATTGTATTTCTAATTAGCTCGCTAGTCCTCTATATTATCTCATTGATACTAACAACCAAGCTTACACATACAAGCACAATAGATGCTCAAGAAGTAGAGACCATCTGAACGATCCTGCCCGCCATCATCCTAATTCTCATTGCCCTACCCTCCCTGCGAATTCTTTATATAATAGATGAAATCAACAGCCCCTCCCTTACAGTTAAAACCATAGGACATCAGTGATACTGAAGCTACGAGTACACTGACTACGAAGATTTGAACTTTGACTCCTACATAATCCCTACCCAAGAGCTAAAACCAGGAGAACTTCGGCTACTAGAAGTTGACAACCGAGTAGTTTTACCAATAGAAATAACTATTCGCATACTAATTTCATCAGAAGACGTACTACACTCATGAGCTGTCCCATCCCTAGGTCTAAAAACTGACGCTATTCCAGGTCGACTAAACCAAACAACCCTAATAGGCACACGACCTGGATTATACTATGGTCAATGCTCAGAAATCTGTGGCTCAAACCACAGTTTCATGCCCATCGTCCTCGAACTAGTCCCACTAGCATATTTTGAAAAATGATCTGCATCTATACTGTAAGTTCATTGAGAAGCTAAATAAGCGTTAACCTTTTAAGTTAAAGACTGGGAGCTTAGATCTCCCCTTAATGATATGCCACAACTAGATACATCAACTTGATTTATCACTATTGTATCAATAATTATAACACTATTTATCATATTCCAACTAAAAATCTCAAAATATCTATATCCGTCAAATCCAGAACCCAAGTCTACAATTACACTAAAACAATCTAATCCCTGAGAAAAAAAATGAACGAAAATCTATTCGCCTCTTTCGCTACCCCAACAATAATAGGACTGCCTATCGTTATCTTAATTGTTATATTCCCAAGCATTCTATTCCCATCACCCAACCGACTAATTAATAACCGCCTGATCTCACTGCAACAATGACTAGTACAATTAACATCGAAGCAAATATTGGCCATCCACAATCACAAAGGACAAACCTGAGCCCTAATACTGATATCCCTCATCTTATTTATTGGATCAACAAACCTATTAGGCTTACTACCTCACTCATTCACCCCAACCACCCAATTATCAATAAACTTAGGAATAGCTATTCCACTATGAGCCGGCACTGTAATTACCGGGTTTCGCCATAAAACTAAAGCATCCCTAGCCCACTTTTTACCACAAGGAACACCTATTCCCCTAATCCCCATGCTCGTAATTATCGAAACTATTAGCCTCTTCATTCAACCTATGGCCCTAGCCGTACGACTTACAGCTAACATCACTGCAGGTCACTTACTAATACACTTAATTGGAGGGGCCACTTTAGCCTTAATAAACATTACAACTTCCGTTGCCTTAATTACTTTTATTATTCTTATCCTACTAACAATCCTTGAATTCGCTGTAGCCCTAATCCAAGCCTACGTTTTCACCCTACTAGTAAGCCTATATCTACATGATAATACCTAATGACCCACCAAACCCACGCATACCACATAGTCAACCCCAGCCCATGGCCACTTACAGGGGCCCTTTCAGCCCTCTTAATAACCTCAGGTCTAGCCATATGATTTCACTACAATTCAACACTATTATTAACCCTTGGAATAACTACTAATCTATTAACAATATACCAGTGATGACGAGACATCATTCGAGAGAGTACATTCCAAGGCCATCATACACCCACTGTCCAAAAAGGCCTTCGATATGGAATAATCCTCTTTATCGTCTCAGAAGTATTCTTTTTTGCAGGCTTCTTCTGGGCCTTTTACCACTCAAGTCTAGCCCCAACCCCCGAACTAGGAGGATGCTGACCACCAACAGGCATTATTCCCTTAAACCCCTTAGAAGTTCCACTACTTAACACTTCTGTACTTCTAGCCTCTGGAGTATCAATCACTTGAGCCCACCATAGTTTAATAGAAGGAAACCGAAAACACATGCTCCAAGCACTATTTATCACAATTTCCCTAGGAGTTTACTTCACACTCCTCCAAGCCTCCGAATATTACGAAACATCATTCACAATCTCAGATGGGATTTATGGGTCTACCTTCTTCATGGCCACAGGATTCCACGGACTACATGTAATCATTGGCTCCACTTTCCTAATTGTATGCTTCTTACGTCAACTAAAATATCACTTTACATCAAACCACCACTTCGGATTCGAAGCCGCTGCTTGATATTGACATTTCGTAGACGTAGTTTGACTATTCTTATACGTTTCCATTTATTGATGAGGATCTTATTCCTTTAGTATTAACAAGTACAGTTGACTTCCAATCAACCAGTTTCGGTATAGCCCGAAAAGGAATAATAAACGTAATACTCGCCTTACTCACCAACACACTTCTATCCACATTACTCGTACTCATCGCATTCTGACTGCCCCAACTAAATATTTACGCAGAAAAAGTAAGCCCCTATGAATGTGGGTTTGACCCCATGGGATCTGCTCGTCTACCCTTTTCCATGAAATTTTTCTTAGTAGCCATCACATTCTTACTGTTCGACCTAGAAATTGCACTACTACTCCCTCTTCCCTGAGCCTCACAAACAAACAATTTATCAACCATACTCACTATAGCCCTTCTACTAATCTCCCTGCTAGCCGCAAGCCTGGCCTACGAATGAACCCAAAAAGGACTAGAATGAACTGAATATGATAATTAGTTTAAACTAAAACAAATGATTTCGACTCATTAGATTATAGCTCATCCTATAATTATCAAATGTCCATAGTCTACATTAACATCTTCCTGGCCTTCACCATGTCACTCATAGGACTATTAATGTACCGATCCCACCTAATATCTTCTCTCTTATGTCTAGAAGGCATAATATTATCCCTATTTATTATAATGGCCGTAGCAATTCTAAACAATCACTTTACACTAGCCAGCATAACCCCTATTATTCTACTAGTATTTGCAGCCTGCGAGGCGGCACTAGGCCTATCCCTGCTAGTAATAGTATCAAATACATATGGTACCGACTATGTACAAAACCTAAACCTCCTACAATGCTAAAAATCATTATCCCCACCGCTATGCTTATACCAATAACATGATTATCAAAACCTAACATAATCTGAATTAACTCAACAGCCTACAGCCTACTAATTAGTCTTATTAGCCTCTCCCATCTAAATCAACTAGGTGATAACAGCTTAAACTTCTCATTATTATTTTTCTCAGACTCACTCTCTGCACCTCTACTGGTATTAACAACATGACTTCTGCCACTAATACTCGTAGCCAGCCAATCACACCTATCAAAAGAAACCTTAACCCGAAAAAAACTATATATTACAATACTCATCCTCCTACAACTCCTCTTGATCATAACATTTACCGCCACAGAACTAATTATATTCTATATTCTATTTGAAGCCACATTAATCCCCACTTTAATTATCATTACCCGATGAGGCAACCAAACAGAACGACTAAATGCTGGCTTGTATTTTCTATTTTATACCCTAATAGGCTCATTACCTCTTTTAGTCGCACTATTATATATCCAACACACACTAGGAACCCTAAACTTCTTAATCATTCAATACTGAGCCAAACCCATCTCAACTACCTGATCCAACATTTTCCTCTGACTAGCATGCATAATAGCATTTATAGTAAAAATACCTTTATACGGACTCCACCTCTGATTGCCAAAAGCACATGTTGAAGCCCCTATCGCCGGCTCAATAGTGCTTGCCGCCGTATTATTAAAGCTAGGGGGGTACGGAATAATGCGCATCACAATTTTACTAAACCCCACAACAAATCAAATAGCATACCCCTTTATAATACTATCCCTATGAGGAATAGTTATAACAAGTTCTATTTGTCTACGTCAAACAGACCTAAAATCTTTAATTGCATACTCATCTGTAAGCCATATAGCCCTAGTAATTGTAGCAGTACTAATCCAAACACCCTGAAGCTACATAGGAGCCACAGCCCTAATAATTGCCCACGGACTAACTTCATCCATATTATTTTGTCTTGCAAACTCAAACTATGAACGAGTACATAGCCGAACAATAATCCTAGCACGAGGCTTACAAACTATTCTTCCCCTGATAGCTGCTTGATGACTACTAGCCAGCCTCGCAAACCTAGCCCTACCGCCCACAATTAACCTAATCGGAGAACTATTTGTAGTAATAGCCTCTTTCTCATGATCCAACATAACCATTATCCTCATAGGTACAAACATTATCATCACAGCCCTGTATTCTCTCTATATACTCATTACAACCCAACGAGGTAAGTACACACATCACATTAAAAATATTAACCCATCATTTACACGAGAAAACACCCTAATAGCCCTACATATACTCCCCCTTCTCCTCTTATCACTTAACCCCAAAATTGTATTAGGACCCATTTATTGTAAATATAGTTTAATAAAAACATTAGATTGTGAGTCTAATAACGGAAGTGCAAACCTTCTTATTTACCGAAAAAGTATGCAAGAACTGCTAACTCATGCCCCCACGTATAAAAACGTGGCTTTTTCAACTTTTATAGGATAGAAGTAATCCATTGGTCTTAGGAACCAAAAAATTGGTGCAACTCCAAATAAAAGTAATAAATCTATTTACCCCATTTATATTAACCACAATACTTATTCTACTTCTACCTATCATCATATCCAATACCCAATTATACAAAAACAGTCTGTATCCCTACTATGTAAAAACTACAGTCTCCTACGCCTTCACCATCAGCATAATCCCAACCATAATATTTATCTCTTCAGGGCAGGAAGCAGTCATCTCAAACTGACACTGACTGTCAATTCAAACCCTTAAACTGTCATTAAGCTTTAAAATAGACTACTTCTCAATCATCTTTATCCCCGTAGCACTATTTGTCACATGATCAATCATAGAGTTCTCAATGTGATATATACACTCAGATCCATGCATTAACCAGTTCTTTAAATATCTTCTCATATTTCTAATTACCATAATAATTCTAGTAACCGCTAATAACCTGTTCCAACTATTTATCGGCTGAGAAGGAGTGGGAATTATATCCTTTTTACTCATTGGGTGATGACATGGCCGAGCAGACGCGAACACAGCTGCCCTACAAGCAATCCTTTACAATCGCATTGGGGATGTAGGTTTTATCATAGCCATAGCATGATTCCTTACCAACCTAAACGCATGGGACTTCCAACAGATCTTTATCATCCAACATAAAAACTTAAACATCCCTTTACTAGGACTCCTATTAGCAGCCACAGGTAAATCTGCCCAATTCGGTCTACATCCATGACTACCATCAGCCATAGAAGGCCCAACCCCCGTCTCCGCTCTACTCCACTCAAGTACAATAGTCGTAGCCGGAGTCTTTTTACTAATCCGCTTCCACCCACTTATGGAACAAAACAAAACCATACAAACCTTCACCCTATGCTTAGGGGCCATCACAACCCTGTTCACAGCCATCTGTGCTCTCACACAAAACGACATCAAAAAAATTGTTGCCTTTTCAACCTCAAGCCAGCTGGGCCTAATAATTGTAACCATTGGAATTAACCAACCCTATCTCGCATTCCTACACATCTGCACTCACGCATTCTTTAAAGCCATATTATTCATATGCTCAGGATCAATTATTCACAGCCTAAATGACGAACAGGACATTCGAAAAATAGGCGGATTATATAAACCAATGCCCTTTACCACCACCTCCCTCATTATCGGAAGCCTCGCATTAACAGGTATACCCTTCCTAACAGGTTTCTATTCCAAAGACCTAATCATCGAGACAGCCAACACGTCGTATACCAACGCCTGAGCCCTACTAATTACTCTCATTGCCACATCCCTTACAGCTGCCTACAGCACTCGAATTATATTCTTTGTACTCCTGGGACAACCACGATTCAACGCCTTGAACCTAATCAATGAAAATAATACCCACCTCATCAACTCCATTAAACGTCTCTTAATTGGAAGCATCTTTGCAGGATACCTAATCTCTTATAATATCCCTCCAACAACCATCCCACAAATGACTATACCCTATTACCTGAAACTAACTGCTCTTGCCGTGACTATCACAGGCTTTATCCTAGCATTAGAACTCAACCTCGCGACCAAAAACTTAAAATTCAAATATCCCTCAAACCTCTTCAAGTTTTCCAGCCTTCTAGGGTATTTTCCAACTGTAATACACCGCCTCCCATCAAAAATAAGCCTAACTATAAGCCAAAAATCCGCATCGATACTACTAGACACTATCTGACTAGAAAATGTATTACCAAAATCCATCTCCTACTTCCAAATAAAAATGTCAACTACCGTATCTAATCAGAAAGGACTAGTTAAACTCTACTTCTTATCTTTCATAATCACCTTAACCCTTAGCCTACTCTTACTTAATTACCACGAGTAACTTCTATAATCACCAATACACCGATAAACAGCGACCAACCAGTAACAACCACTAACCAAGTTCCATAGCTATACAAGGCTGCAATTCCCATGGCCTCTTCACTAAAAAACCCTGAATCACCTGTATCATAAATTACCCAATCACCCGCACCATTAAACTTAAACACAACCTCTACCTCCTCTTCTTTTAAAATATAACAAGCAGTCAATAATTCTGCCAACACCCCCGTAATAAACATCCCTAATACAGCCTTATTAGACGTCCACGCCTCAGGATAAGGCTCAGTAGCCATAGCCGTAGTATATCCAAATACCACAAGCATACCCCCTAAATAAATTAAAAAAACCATTAAACCCAAGAATGATCCCCCAAAATTCAATACAATACCACAACCAATACCACCCGCCACAATCAAACCAAACCCACCATAAATAGGTGAAGGCTTAGAAGAAAAACTTACAAAGCTCACCACAAAAATTGTACTTAGAATAAATACAATGTATGTTATCATTATTCTCACATGGAATCTAACCATGACCAATGATATGAAAAACCATCGTTGTATTTCAACTACGAGAACTTAATGACCAACATTCGAAAATCACACCCCCTTATCAAAATCATTAATCACTCATTTATTGATTTACCCACCCCATCCAACATTTCAGCATGATGAAACTTTGGCTCCCTACTAGGGGTCTGCCTAATCCTACAAATCCTAACCGGCCTCTTCCTGGCCATACACTATACATCAGACACAATGACTGCCTTTTCATCAGTCACTCACATCTGTCGTGACGTTAACTACGGCTGAATTATTCGGTACATACATGCCAACGGAGCCTCCATATTCTTTATCTGCCTATACATGCACGTGGGACGAGGAATATATTATGGCTCCTATACCTTCTCGGAAACATGAAATATTGGAATCATACTACTATTTGCGGTCATAGCCACAGCCTTTATAGGATATGTCTTACCATGAGGCCAAATATCCTTCTGAGGAGCAACCGTAATTACTAACCTCCTATCAGCAATCCCATACATCGGAACCAATTTGGTAGAGTGAATTTGAGGAGGCTTTTCAGTAGACAAAGCCACCCTAACACGATTCTTTGCCTTCCATTTTATCCTCCCATTCATCATCTCAGCTCTAGCAGCAGTACACCTTCTATTTCTCCACGAAACAGGATCTAACAACCCCTCAGGAATCACATCTGATTCAGACAAAATCCCATTCCATCCATACTACACAACCAAAGACATCTTGGGTCTCCTAGCATTAATCTTAACACTCATGCTACTCGTCCTATTCTTACCAGATATATTAGGAGACCCAGACAACTACATCCCTGCCAACCCTCTAAATACTCCCCCTCATATCAAACCCGAATGATACTTCCTGTTCGCATATGCAATCCTCCGATCCATCCCCAACAAACTAGGAGGAGTACTAGCCCTAGTACTCTCTATTCTAATCTTAGCAATAATCCCAACCCTCCACACCTCCAAGCAACGAGGAATAATGTTCCGACCACTAAGCCAATGCTTATTCTGACTCCTAGTAGCAGACCTCCTAACCCTAACATGAATTGGCGGCCAACCCGTAGAACATCCTTTTATTACAATCGGTCAATTAGCCTCTGTCCTATATTTCTCAACCCTCCTAATCCTAATACCCATTTCAGGCATTATCGAAAATCGCCTTCTAAAATGAAGAGTCTTTGTAGTATATAAATACCTTGGTCTTGTAAACCAAAAAAGGAGAATACACACCCTCCCTAAGACTTCAAGGAAGAAGCAACAGCCCCACTATCAGCACCCAAAGCTGAAATTCTTTCTTAAACTATTCCTTGCCAATACCAGAAACCAACCCCACAACTTCCATGATTCATATATTGCATATACCCGTACTGTGCTTGCCCAGTATGTCCTTATTTCCCACAAAACAAACCAAGTAAAAACCCCCTATTATTACCGTCCAAGACATGTAATGTAAAATCAACCTATTAATTATTAACCCATATCCCCATGAATATTAGGCATGTACAGTAGTTTATATATATTACATAAGACATACTATGTATATCGTGCATTAACTGCTAGTCCCCATGAATATTAGGCATGTACAGTAGTTTATATATATTACATAAGACATACTATGTATATCGTGCATTAACTGCTAGTCCCCATGAATATTAGGCATGTACAGTAGTTTATATATATTACATAAGACATACTATGTATATCGTGCATTAACTGCTAGTCCCCATGAATATTAGGCATGTACAGTAGTTTATATATATTACATAAGACATACTATGTATATCGTGCATTAACTGCTAGTCCCCATGAATATTAAGCATGTACAGTAGTTTATATATATTACATAAGGCATAATAGTGCTTAATCGTGCATCCATACTTTCTAGGACAATTCTCTATGGACCTCAACTGTCCAAAGGAATCTAGATCACCTGGTCTCGAGAAACCAGCAATCCTTGCTCGAACGTGTACCTCTTCTCGCTCCGGGCCCATTTCAACGTGGGGGTTTCTATGGTGGAACTATATCTGGCATCTGGTTCTTACTTCAGGGCCATGAAAGTTCTTGAATCCAATCCTTCAACTCTCTCAAATGGGACATCTCGAT